AAAAAAAAGGGCTGGCAGACCGGCCCACGGGGCCGCTGGCTGCGAGGCGAGACCTCCACCAATGTTGGCAGTGGAGGTCCCCGGGGGGGGAAACCACGCTATGCAAAAAAACGACAGGGTATTTCCCAACCATCTTTGTGATGTTGGGTCATCGTTTCGAAAAGACAACGCCCCGCGCTCCTCCCTCCTTCTCCTCCCCCTACCTGATCCCACCCATGCATTTGCTCTCCGCATCAGTCTGCCATACTGGCACAACCCTCACACGTTTTGGGGCCCCATGGGGAGCTCCACCGAAGGTTCCAGTGCTACCGCCTGCATGCGTCTCCCCACCCAGTACAGCGTTTCGTGTCCACAGAGGAAGCTTCGCCGAAGGTCCCAGTGCTATCGCCTGCATGCGTCCCCACAACCCAGTGCAGCGTTTCGTGGCCCCATACGGAGCTCCAACGACGGCCTCAGTGCTACCGCCCGCATGCGTCCCCCCAACCTCGTACAGCGCTTTGTGGTCCCATGAAGAATTTCATCGACGGCCCCAGCGCTACTGTCTGCATGCGTCTCCCCCACCCAATACAGGGTATGTAGCTCCACCGACGGCCCCAGTGGCACCGTACGCATGCGTTTCCCCCACCCAGTACAGCACTTCATGGCCCCATAGGTAGCTCCACTGGCGGCCCCAGTGGCACCGTACGCATGCGCCTCCCTTACCCAGTTCCAGTTTTCGTGGCCCCGTAGGGGGCTCAACCGAAGGGTCCAGTAGCACCGTCCGCACGCGTCTCCCCCGCCCAGTACAGCGCTTCGTGGCCCCATTATGAGCTCCACCGAAGGCCTCAATTGCACCGTCCTCATGCGTCTCCCCCACCCAGCGCAGCAGCGTTCCGAGGCCCAGATGGAGTTTCACCGATGGTCCCAGTGGCACATTTCGCATGCGTCTCCCCCACCCAGTACAGCTTTTCGCGGTCCAGGGAGCTCCACCGAAGCCCTCAGTGGCAAAGTTCGCGTGCGTCTCCCCCACCCAGTACAGAGCTTCCTGGCCCATAGGGAGCTCCACCGTAGGCGATGCCCACAACTGCGGTATTCACAACTGCACATGGTTGGGTTTTTCGCCAGGCTAGTTTGGGATCGGCTTTTGTTTTCTGCTCATCCATGGTCGGCACTTCGGCACTGCACCCCGGGCTTCGAGGGCAGAGTCTATCCGCGTGGGGCTGAGCCGTCCTGGGCCCCCACTGGGGTTTCCCGGTGCCGCGCCTGGATCCCGCCCTCGATATGGTGGTCCAGGGCTGGACCTAAACACTGTTTTGCTGTGTTTCGTTTTGACAGGGGGGTGCAGGACAACAGGTATAGAGCAAAACGAGCAACAGAACGGCAACAAGACGAGCAAAAACAGCGTTTTGGTTCAGCCCCTGCTGTGGTCGGCGTCGCCTCGGCAGAGGCCCAGGGTTCGAGCTCTGAGGCCGGGCCTCCTCTCCTCCTCCTCCTCCTCACTCCTTCTCCTCCTTCATCTCCTCCTCCTTCTCCTCCTCCCCCTCCCCCCTCCTCCTCCTCCTCCTCCTCCTCCTCCTCCTCCTCCCTCTCCTCCCTCTCCTCCTCCCTCTCCTCCTCTTCCTCCTCCTCCTCCTTCTCCTCCTCCTCCTCCTCGTCCTCCTCTGGCGCCCAGCCCCCCAGAGAGGGGGGAGGCGGCGCGGCCCCCGAGGCGCGCCCCCGCCGGCGGCCCCTCGCCCTCGAGGTGCAAGGGGGTGGTAGGCGTTGGCAGGTCTTGGGCTCTGCTTCGGCGTCCTGGGAGTCCTCGTTGCCGCGGCCAGCTGCCAGTCGGAGTCCTCGACGCCTCGCGTATTTCAGTGCCCTTGCGGACCAGCTTCACCTCCTGGTCTCCGACGGCTTTTGCGATCTCGACCTGGTCTTCAGCGTCTCTCTCGCCCCCTGAGCCGCAGCGTATTTCGCTCCTGCGTGCTCAGCGTCTGCTTTGGAGCTTGGCGCGGCTGCCTCGTTTCTGGACGGCGCGCGGTCCTACCGCTTGCGCTCGCGATCAAAAATTCCATCAGTGCCCCGAATCATCAGGGGTAACTCGGGTCAGGGCTAACTCGGGTTCGTTTTTCCGGATTCCGAACCCGAGTTACCGTGGGCGCGAGCTACCCCGGATAATTCGGGCGTCCAGGGCCCCAAATCATCAGGAGTAATTCGTGTCAGGGCTAACTCGGGTTCGCTTCTCGGGAAAAATAAGCCCGATATATCCCGGACCCGAGCTACCCCGGATAACTCGGGCGCCCAACAGTATCGCCCCCCCCCAGCCCATCGAGAAACGGTCCGCAGGCAAGTTGCCCTGATCCAGGAGGCGTAGCAGCACGCATTCAGAAGTCGACGATTCAGATCTTCGCCGATTTGTTCCTAGGAACACCTTGGAGGAGGATTCGAACCATCTTGGGGCCATCTTGGGAATATTGGGAGCTTTCTTGGAGGACATCGGGGAACACATGGGGGCGGCGTTCATTAGCATGCCCCCCGTTGGAATCACGGTTTTTCCCTGGAATGGTTTGGTCTGGGGCCAGGTTCCACAATTAATGCGATTGTGGACCAGTTTCGCTTGGGTGGTCGGGCATTTTCGCCAGTATACTTGGCCACGTCGTTCGCGTTATCCGCAGCGGGATTTCGGGCAGTCGTGGTAGGAGCGGCGGCATTGGGGCATTGGTTTTGGTAGCGCTTGCAGTCGCAGTCGTATTGCTGGGTGGGTTTGGGAAGGTTAAAGCGGCACCTCGGGCGGGGGCTATGCCAGGATGCGTGTATTCAGTGTTTATCCAGCCGTTTGGCGCCCTCTTATACTTTCTGCGGGATCTTTTGGGTTGTTTCGGGGGGGTCTTGGGGGCATCTTGAGGCCTCTTGGAGGCTTATCGGTTAATTCGTCGGGGTTATCGTGAGGGTATGGTTTTTTTTGCGCCCATTTTGGGCAGACGGTTTTCTGCGGGCTTGCGGTGGTTTGCAATTTTTGCTCATCTTGATGCCCCTGGGTGTGATGATTCGGGGCCGTCTTTTGGCAATCTTGCAAGAGACCGTCCTGAACGCTATTCAGTTAAAACTGAAAAAGCGATGGCTACATTCATCGTGTACTAGGTCAGCGCTTTTGGACGATTGCGCCTCAGCAGGGAGCTTTTCGGGCGCTCAGCTGCCATCCCGAAGTGCTTGCGGGCCATGCAGCGGACGCTATCAAGAGCAGAGCGTTGGCGCAAGTAGGTTGCAGCATCGACACGCGTGCGTGTGTGGCTGCCGCGACCCAAATCAGCCCAAGCTGAGGTTGGCCAGGCTGCACCTAGACGGAGGTCCGCCAAGAAGACGCGACTACCTAGTCAATGATCTTCACACGAGTGTTCCGTGGTACACTTTAGGGCAGGTGTTCGGAGGGGAGTTTGGGCTATCGGAGGCATAATGAAGTGAATGAAGGCAGAATGAAGTGAACAGATCCAGCGTATTTTTGGTTTGGGGATCCAGCCAGGTAACACGCTTGCTGCTGGCGACGGTGTCCGTGTCTCCGCCGCGGCGCTGGCCTTCGCAGGCGCCGCCACCCTCGCGGGGCTGCGCCGGCGCGGGGCCGTGGCGGCGAGGGCCCAGAGTTTCGACGAGATCATGTCGCGCAAGCCCTCGGAAGCAGTCGGCGCCAGCGCACCTGCACCCGCAGCGGAGGCCAAGGCGACTGTGGTAGAGGTGGCATCGAATGCTGCCACCGCGGGGCCGAAGGCACCGGGAGCGGAGGCGAAGGCACCGGTGGCCGAGGTCAAGGCTTCGGCGGTGGATGCCAAGTCACCCGTGGCAGAGGCCAGCGCAGCCAAGGCACCCACAGCGGAGGCCAAGGCGCCACCACCAGAGGCGAAGGCAGAAGCCAAGGTGGCCACAGCGGAGTCGAAGACACCAGTGGCGGAGGCGAAGGTGGAAGCCAAGGCGCCCGTGGTGGAAGCCAATGCCAAGGCACCGGCGGCGGAGGCCAAGGCACCGACTGCAGATGTCAAGGCACCAGCGGTGGAGGTGAATGCACCAGTAGCGGAGGCCAAAGCAGCCATGGCACCCGCAGTGGAGGCCAAGGCGCCTGTGATCGAGGCCAAGGCGCCAGCGGAGGCCAAGGCGGAAGCCAAGGTGGCCACCGCAGAGTCGAAGGCACCCGTGGCGGAGGCGAAGGTGGAAGCCAAGGTGGCCAATGCGGAGTCGAAGGCACCAGTGGCGGAGGCGAAGGTGGAGGCAACCAAGGCACCATCGGCAGAAGCCAAAACACCCGTGGCCGAGGCCAGCACACAAGCGAAAGCGCCTGCAGCGGAGGCCAAAGCGCCCGTGGTGGAAGCCAAGGCACCGGCGGCGGAGGCCAAGGCACCGACGGCAGAGGCCAAGGCACCAGCGGTGGAGGTCAAGGCAGCCGCAGCGGAGGCCAAAGAAGCCAAGGCACCCGCAGTGGAGGCCAAGGCGCCTGTGATCGAGGCCAAGGCGCCAGCGGAGGCCAAGGCGGAAGCTAAGGTGGCCACTGCAGAGTCGAAGGCGCCCGTGGCGGAGGCGAAGGTGGAAGCCAAGGTGGCCAACGCGGAGTCGAAGGCACCAGTGGCGGAGGCGAAGGTGGAGGCGGCCAAGGCACCATCGGCAGAAGCCAAAACACCCGTGGCCGAGGCCAGCACACAAGCGAAAGCGCCTGCAGCGGAGGCCAAGGCGCCCGTGGTGGAAGCCAAGGCGCCCGCGGCAGATTCCAAGGCAGCAGCGCCAGAGGCCAAGGCACCGGCGGCGGAGGCCAAGGCACCGGCGGCGGAGGCCAAGGCACCAGCGGTGGAGGTCAAGGCAGCCGCAGCGGAGGCCAAAGACGCTAAGGCACCCGCAGTGGAGGCCAAGGCGCCTGTGATCGAGGCCAAGGCGCCAGCGGAGGCCAAGGCGGAAGCCAAGGTGGCCACCGCGGAGTCGAAGGCACCCGTGGCGGAGGCGAAGGTGGAAGCCAATGCGCCCGTGCTGGAGGCCAAGGCACCGGCGGCAGAGGCCAAGGCACCGGCCGCGGAGGCCACAGCGGCCAAGGCGCCCGCAGTGGAGGCCAGCAAGGCGCCCGTGGTGGATCCGAATGCCTCGTCCGTGCAGGCCAAGGTGGATGCCAAGGCGGCCGCCCCGGAGGTGAAGGCTGCGGCAGCGGAGGCGACGGCGGCGGCCAAGGTGCCCTCGCATCCACTTCCCTCCTGTCTCCGCCCTCTACGCATTCCCATATGGCTCCCCCCATCCAGATTTCGCAGCTTCCCCCAGCCTCATCCTCCCTCGTCGTCGTCTTCTTCCTCATTGTCCTCTGCCTCCCGCACTCTTCCTCCTCCGTCTATCATCCCACCCTCCCTCCTTCATCCTTGGCCCCCCTCATCCGCCCTCCCTCTACTCTTTCCCCTCCCTGATCCTGACCCCTCCCACCTCCTTCTGCCCACTCCTCGCTTACCATATCAATAATCCTCTCTCTCTCTCTCTTATCGTATTTCCCTCTTTCCTTCTTCTCTCTCACACAATAAACTCAGCATCATCCCCGACTGCCCAGAGCCCCCCATGTACGAACAACTCACGACCCAGAGCCAAGTACAACCCACGAAAGCCAGCTAGCATTAGAAAGTGTTCCTCCTTCTCATTTCGCCTCCGAGTCTCGATGGGCGCTCGCTTCGCCTCCGCAGTCTGCCACGGAGGCGCCAGCGCTGTCGCGGAGCCAGATCCCTGGATGCGTCGCGAGCAGCTACCTTTTAAGTCGGGCATGTCCCCCTACAGGAGAAACATTCCAGAATGGTAGCAAATAGTCTGGAGCGATGTTTCGTGCTCTCTTGATTAGTGTTGGCTAGTGTTGGGAGTATATGTTTTATGTGTCTTCCAGAACCCTCTTGTGGGAGGACATGCCCGACATAATTCTGCCTCTCATTGCCAGGGGTGGCGGCCAAACACCATCGGCATCATGCAAGCATGCAAGAACCATGCCTTGTGCAGAGAGACAAGTGCAGTGGGGGGGCATGCCAAGAAACGCCCTTGTCGACTCCAGGGTGCCCTGGATTTCTTAAGTGTCGATTGGTTCTGCTAGGGAAGGCGTGACGCTCCCACACCAAACATCAATGCACGTTCTGCGGTTTCAGGGTTTGTTTTCTTGTGGAAGGGTTCTTGTGGTCGGGCTCCGAATCCAGGGCTCATTTCGATTCCTCCGATTCGATTCGATTCGATTCCGATGGGATGGCTTCCGCTTCCGAGGATTCCGATTTGGGCTCCGGATCCTCATTGGGGGCCTACTAGCCTACCGATTTCCACCGATTCGACTTTTCCCGACTCTGCTACCGATATCCTCCGATCCGATTTATTTCGATTGCCGATCCGAGGAGGAGGAGGAGGAGGAGGAGGAGGAGGAGGGCAGGAGGAGGAGGAGGAGGAGGTATGGAGGAGGATGAGGATGAGGGAGGGAGGAGGAGGGAGGAGGGACGAGGGAAGAGGGAGGAGGAGGAGGAGGAGCGAGGAGGAGGAGGAAGAGAGGAGGAGGAGGAGGAGGAGGAGGGAGGAGGGAGGATAAGGAGTGAGGAGGCCGAGGAGGAGGAGGAGGAAGAGGAGGAGGAGGAGGAGGAGGAGGAGGAGGAGGGATGGAGGAGGAGGACGGATGGAGGAGAAGGAGGAGGGCCAGTCACCCCCTATCGTTGCCCCTCCAAGGCGCCCGCAGCAGAGAAGCTGGCCGCCGCCGCGGAGGCGGCCGCGCCCGCCGCCCAGAAGCTGTCCGCCGCCGCGGCAGTCCCCGCCGAGGCCGCCCGGCGACGCCGCGACGGCGTCGTCGGCGCCGCGGCGGCGTCGACCCAGACCCCCTCGGGCAATGGTGACGTGATGACGGGAGGTTTCTCGCTACTGTTGTTCTGGGGGCCCTGTTCAAGACGTCCGTGTCAATACGTTGCGTGCCGGCTCCACGTATTGGACCACGTTTTGGCGAACGCATCGCGTCGGACCCACGTATTCAGCCTACGTGTTGAGCTCTGTATCTATACGATACGTGTTGCGTGTTGCGTATCGGGGCAGTCGGGACCGCCAAAAAACCATTCAGGATGAAAATCCGGTGCATGGGGAATGGGTCGAGACCTCCAGGGGCCACCCGCTCGACAGGGCCGTTTTTTTTGCTACTGGCTCCAGTTGGCGGTATTTTGTTTGTTCCGCTTCCGACGCCGTTTCTGTTGCCGGTTCCGTCGCCGTTTTTTTTATTGGTTCCGGATCCGGTTCCAATTTTGCAGCGTTTTTCGGGGGCCGTTTCCAGTCGTTTTTTTTCCCGTTTCCCTGTTCAGGAGAAGCTTTTTCGGAAGCGGTGGAAAAAAAGCGGCCCTGCCGCGTCCGGGGCCCACGAAGCGATCGGCTCTCTCGGGCTTCTGCCCCCGAGTTCCGTCCCTGGGAGCTGGGCAACTCCTTTCTCTTTCGAGCCGAGTGTTGTCGCCGCCTGCCGGGCCCCGGGGCCCTCGCAGATCGATCCGGCTCGACAGATGGCGCGGAGAGCTTGGCTCTGGTTTTTACCTCCTCATCACGATGCCAATCTTAGAGATCCCCTAAGATTGCCATCGCTTTTTGGCATGCCAATCTAGAGATGGCGATCTGTTCGAGGCTGGTTGGATGTGTCAGCGGTTTCTTGTCGTCGGATCTCGGGGGGCAGCTGCAGGGGCGCAGCGGCGGGCCTCGGGAGGCCCGCCGCGCGGCTCGTCTCCTCGAGCCCCAATCGTGGGGTCGGGCCTGTCCCTCGACGGGAGGAGTATCCAAAGGAAGAGCCCCCAAAAAGTCGGGGGTTCGATTTGTTTCGTATTTTGGGGGCCGTTTTGGAGTATGGTTGTCGACTAATTTGTTTTTTCCTCCAAGACCCGCCTGTAGGAGGACATGCCCAACCTGACCCCATCATGAGGGGCATGAGCCGGCCGTCACGCTGTTGTTCCCCCGCGGCGGCGGAGCCGGATCTGAGGGGAGGTGGCCGAGGCGAAGTTTTGCCGGCCCATGGGTCTGGAGGGTTTCTCCGAAGGGCTTACGCGACCCGTCCTCCTCATCCTACTCCTACTCCTCCTCCTCCTCCTCCTCCTCCTCCTCGTCCTGGAGGAGGCGCGGAGGCTGCGCTACCCCATGCGGTTGTGCTGGCAGCTCATCAGCTACTTCCGCATGCCGAGGGTCGTTCGCGCATACGGCTCCTGGAGCCGCGAGGTGTGCGCGCACCAGAGCATCCTGGCTGGTTGTACGCACAGCGCGGGGCTGCTGACTGTGCTGCTCTACAGGGCGGTCACGCGCCTGCGGAGGGTCGCGGAGGATCTCACGCCGAGGGGCCTGATGGATGACCTCACGCTCCAGTGGATCGGCGAGCAGATCGGGGCTGGCCGGTGCACCCTCCACGGGGCCGTCGCGGGCTTCATCGCCGACGTGGAGCCGCTGGGGATGGAGGTCAAGTCCAGCAAGTCGGGCTGGCTCGCCACCACCAAGGAGGCGCAGCGGACCTGTGCCGTAGCGGCGCACCAGCTGCGCCTCCAGGAGCGCGCTGGGACGCGCAACCTTGGGCACGATACCCATGGCCGTGGAGTGCGGCGCACGATCGCCAAGGCCAGGCTGGATGCGCTGAAGGCGCGTGGGCCAAGGGTGGCGGCGCTCCAGAGGACGGCGGGGCTGCGCATTCAGGCCCTGTGGCGCACAGGGCTCCTGCCATCCGCTGCCCATGGAGCCGCGGTGGGCGGGGTCACCGACGAGCACCTGGCCACGCTCCGCAGCGGCCATTCTCTGCAGTGGCCGTGGCGGGGTAGGCTCCGATTCCGTCACGCTGCATCTCGCCTCGCAGCGGGATCCTTACCTCGACCCAGTCTTCGATGCCACGCTGCCCCCAGTCCTGAAGTACTGCGACTTCATCTGGGACGAGCGCCTGCCGCTGGCGAGGCTGCAGCGCGCCTGGCAGAAGCTGGAGGCGCAGTGGCTCCAGGCCAAGCCGTCATGGCATGGGCTTCGCGGGCCCATGGCAGCTGCGTGGATGAGCCTGCTGACGATCGGCTGGACGATGCACTCCAGCTTGCTGCTTGTCACCGACGAGGGCGAGATTCTGCAGCTGCTGCAGACACCGCCCAAGGACGTGGCCCACCTCCTTCGAGCGGGTATCGCTCGATGGCAGGGTCGGCAGATTCTCAGCCACCATGAGGCGGTGCCGGCCGACGCTGTGGTGTGGCACCGCGCTATGCGCAGGGTCTTGGCTCCGCCCAAGGCCGCGGTGAAGGGCGCGCGGGCTGGGCAGCTGCGCAAGCTGTGGGCCGGGGCCTCCTGGGACCTGGTCAAGAGGCACGCCATGGGCTACCTCGCGTCGGCGGCCTGCCCTTTCTGCCCAGGCGATGTGCCGTGCACCAAGGGGCATCAATTTTATTGTTGCCCGCACATTTTGACGCGAGGTGGCGATGGGGACGGAGGGAAGCTGGAGGAGCTGCCTGAGAAGCTTCTCAAGTCACGCGACAGGATCAAGGATGGCGCTGGGGTCGGCATCGCCCACCAGGACTACGACCGCTTCGAGTTGGTGGTCGGCCTGCCGCTCCTCCCTCAGCCGGTCAGGCCGGCAGCGCTGGAGGCCTAGGTGCTTCTGGGGCGGCTGGGAGTCGCCGCTCAACTCACGCAGCACGATCGCCTACCACGACGGGTCGGGCTTCGACACTGCGTGGCCTGAGCTTTGCCGCTGCGGATGCGCCGCGGTGCAGCTGAACGACCACAACATGCCCGTCAGGGCGGTGTTTGGCGCGCTGCCTGGACGGCGCCAGGCCGTCGGCCGTGCGGGGCGCTGGGCTTTCCTGCAGATGCTGCGCCTAATGCCGTACGTCTCCCATGTTGTCACTGACTTGTCGGCCCTGGCCGCCGAGATCGAGAGCTGGGACCCTGAGCTGGCCAGTGCACGGGGCCAGTATGCAGACATGTGGCGCTGTGTTTTCGAGCAGGTGGACGGCCTCCCGCGACCTGGAGCGACATGGTGCCCAGCGCACAAAGATGTGGACTTCTTCCTGCAGAGTGCCGGCAGGCA